CTTCCCTCAGAACGACAATCCACTCTCCAGGTTATAAAACTTTCCAGGTTGTTTCTACAGAAAGTAAGATATACATTCTTTCTTTGTTCTTTTCTTTGATGGTTTTCTTACCCCTAAGAAGATACAGTGATGCTTAACTGCAAACATCTTTAATATTTGCACCATGTTTTCTCAGTGTTAGTAAGTTTTCTTGGTAATTAAACAGGGATATTTCACAAGGTTCTATGCAGCTTCCTGGCAAAGCTCTTAATACAAACCTTCTCATAGTTTCTTATAGTAGGATAAGAAACATGTGGCCTTCCAGATGTTGATGTCCCAAATCTCCCATAATTCCTCACCATTGGCAATGCTATCTAGGGCTGATGGAAGTTATAGTCCAACAGCATCTGGAGGGCTGAATATTCTTCAACTCTGGTGTATAGTCTATACTTAGTAGACAGTGTACAGCTAACAGTGAACATAAACAAGTTCATAGTAGAAGCATAGCTGTGATGCATACTTTAGAGCCAGCATGATGTAGTGGTTTGAGTGATGGACTATGACTCTGGAGGCCAGGGTTCAAATCCTGGCTTGGCCATGTAAACCCACTGGGTGACCATGGGCAAGTCACACTCTCTCAGCCTTGGAGGATGGCACTAGCAAACCTCTGAAGAAACTTGCCAAAAAAAAACCCCTATGATAGGGTCACCACAAGTTAGAAATAATTTTAAGGCACACAACAACAAGCAATTTAGAAGCTTTTTCTCCCTTTTTAGACTAGCCACAGACAATTGTGACATCTGAACCTAGACAAATTGTGGTTCATTTCAATTGCAGTTTACTACAAAATGTCAAATCCAAATCATGGATTATAATGTTTGCCTTTCTTTTCTTTTTTAGTGAAACACAGTTAAGATTAACCACATTTAAGATCTGAATTGTAAAAAAACCAAAAACAAACAAACAAACAAAAAAACACTTGCCTTTCCTCCAGTAGTTCAAGGCAGCATGCATGGTTTTTCTCCTCCCTCATAACCACTCTATGAAATAGAGCAGCTGGAGAAAGGTGCAGTGCTACAGGAGTATAAAATTCCTGTTCCAGGAGATATTTCTCATGTCCCTTTTTGTAGTTGTTCCAGTGGGCATTCCAATACATAGGACATGGAGTGCCCATATACCAGACAAGCCTTTAAGGTGATCCCACTGTGCTGCAGGAAAAGGGGGAAACTGCTTGCAAACATGTAAAAAAGTATGACACGTGAGGGCCCTTGAGAACTCTTCTACATCCCCACCTTATGATGGAGAAAGAGCATCATGTTGGGGTTTGACCACAACCTTTTGGAATTCAACAAACCAGAAACCATGGAATCAATTCACAGAATGAGGATATAACAGGTGCATTGCAATGAGGATGCATTGTAACAGACTGAGAATCAGACTCAGACCCAGATATCTCACTAGCAGACCCACATACTGAAAAGGAACCCATAAGAGTAAGCAAGTCCCACATCTCAACACAAAGATTTCATGTTGCTGTTAGGGAGTTAAAAAATTAAATTTATTGTTGTGATTGTTTCATTATGTGGGCCAGATATTTATCTGAGATGGATGGCTATTAATAGGGTAGTTACAAGCCCCCAAGATAAGTGATATTGAGTCCAGCACTTCCAAGGTACAGCACCATTAAATAACATCCAAAGTGTCATTAATGGTAAAGTATTTAAGCTCTGTAGTTATGTTCTAATGCCAAGCCAAGGTAATCGCTGTGAAAACTAATGGCTTCCCATAAGCCAACCTGGATAACCAGACTCCACTTATCTTGAGAATGTTCAACATAGCCTAGATATTGCTCTGGAGTGCACTTTTATTAGTCTTATCTCTGGCATGAGTAGGCAAGAAATAGAACCTTAAATGTTTCTCATTGACATTTTGTCCAATGAAGATTTTGCATCTTTCATAGCTAGGGTGAGCATTTCTGTTGACACTAGCTGGGATTTTCCTGCTGGCTGTCTCACACATATGCAAGTTCCCCATGGAAGTGCTTGGATATTATTGTCTGATGTGGAATGGCTGTATTCTGTTCAAGGCTATAGAAGCAGAATTCCACATCCTTTGTGCATGGGTGCATGGATGCATGTGTGCATTATGCATGGTTGCACACTGATGCACATGGAGCACACATAGATGTGCATTGCTTGTGCATTTAGTTATATAGTGATGCAATTTATTGCAAGGCAGTCTTGCACAACTCCCATACAACTCCATGAGTGTAACAGTACTCTCCATCTCTTTGATATGGGATCTAAGTTTCTTTAGTGTGATTTAGTGTAATTAAATAAATACAGTGGGTACTTATTATCCACTGGGGTTTGGTTCCAGGATCCCCCATGGATAACAAAATCCATGGATGCTCAAGTCCCATTAAATGTAATGACATAGCAAAATGGTGTCCCTCTAAAATGGCAAAATCTAGGTTTGCTACTTGGAATTTAGACTTTTTAAAATTATTTTCAAGCATGGATGCTTTAATCTGTGGATAAAAAAATCCATGGATAAGGAGGACCAACTGTAGTAGATGATACTACAGTCCAAGATCCTACATCATGCTTGTGTAGTATAATTCTACACTCATGTGGTAACACAGTGATTGCACTATACCATCCTTCTGATGAATACCAACATTGTGCAACTGAGGGAGTTTCTGCCAATGTGCCTGTTTAATGTCCCATTGTGCAATGGGGAAAGCACACTGGTTATTTCTACAATCCCAGTGGAGAAAGTGATACTTTGAAGGCCCCGATGAACAGTTATGCACCATCCGAGAATGTACAACGGCATCACTGAAATCCTGTTGGTTAGTCCCAACTAGATTAAACCCATTGAATTAATTGTTAAATGGTGAGTCAGCATGTAGATGAATCAACTTACTCAACCCTACTCAGGACTAACAAGAGGATTTAGGCCATGGAAATGGTTATACTTGTGCAACTCCACTTGGACAACCACGTACCCTGCCCCACACAGGCTCAATTTGTCCTCAATTATCATCTCAACTTCCACCAACACATATGGCTCTATCAAGGTTGCAAGCCTCTTGGGATCTGGCTCCACATTTGTGGAACAATCGTCCTTTACACCTCCAGCTGGAGGAGGATCTTACCCGCTTTCATAAGGAGTTGAAGACCTTCCCCTTTGATTCACTGGATTGCTGAGTTGTTGAGTGTACCTAAGGTTGCCAAGATAGGTAATTAATGTTTTAGTATACTAGCTATATGAGGAGTTTGTTTTAGTATATTGGCATATTATTTTAGTATTTTAGCATTTATAGTGTTGTGTTTTATTGTCTGTTTTTTTATTACATTTGATGTTCCACCCTTTGGTGGAGCAGGTGTTATAAATAAATTGTTGTTGTTGTTATCCCACTTTTCAGCTGCTTTTAAAATGTCCCAGCATCTCTCTCCTACTCCCATTTTTCTTCTTAGTCCTCATCTTACTTCAGTTGCTGCAAATGGAGTTCAGAGTGCCAAAATAGTTTGCCCCGAATCAGTTCAACAGAAGAGAAGAGGAGGGGACTGGAACCTTGCTCTTCCCAGTAGGTTCAGACAAAACCAAACTGCTGCAGCCATTTCTAGCTTCTGTGGGGTTTTTTAATATTAATATTTATCATGACCATTCTGTGACATTGCTTGGCCACACATGCTGCAGAATTTCATAACTGAAACGTCGGAGGGTATGCAACCATGTACTGAATTTCACCATTGCACAATAGCACAAGAGCTGAAAGAGTACAGCTGCCTGTTTAAGGGGTCTTACATTGGTATATAACACCAACAGAATTCTAGCTATAATATTTAACTGATGAGTTTGCCCATTTCATCTCTATATATTTACAGGTGGTATAGCCCTGAAGGGACAAGGCATTAATTTCTTTATTTATATGTGATTTGTACACATGTTACAATCAGCACTAACTTTCTATTTAGTGCTTATTGTAGCGTGTGTGCAAATTACATATAGATAAAGAAATTAATGCTTTTCCCTTCAGAGCTATTACAATAAGCACTATCTAACTATCTGTTGAGAGCCAGTGTGGCATAGTGGTTTAAATGTTAGCCTACAACTCTGGAGATCAGGGTTCAATTCCCATCTAAGCCATAAACCCACTGGATGACCTTGGGAGTAAGCTAAAAATGAGCACATGGAAGGCACTTCTAAGCATACATTGTACTTGTTGTAAGTTTTTCTGTTTAACGATTTTTCAGTAATAATGGGCAGGAAAAGTAATTTGCCCTCCCCTTGCAAGTTCCTGCAAGTATGGAAAATTAATAAGAACCTGACTGCTAATGTTGAGCACCCCCCACCCACCAAATTAAAAACAATTCTGGGGTCCCTGATGGAATTTATGAACACCACAAGTGCTTCAGTTATTTTAATCCACTCTTCCTTTCTACTGGAGATCTGAATAGGAACATTCCAGTCACTCCATTTTCCTGTCAATTTGTGACATTCCTGGCAAGCTTTCTCTCCCCTGACCCCAACTCCCACTTTGTAAATGAAAGATGGGATTACATCTTTCCATGTGGAATTTATCATCTGTGACAGAAATAATATGGATAATCCTTATAGGCCATGAACAGATTCAATATATGTTACTAATGCAATTTGAGCAGGTGGGATGGGGTGAATTTGTCTCTGTCATCAAGGATGGGTGATTACTGGGATCAGGATAGGAGATTTTCAGAAGTTTGGCTTGTTGACACTTAGTATTTGTAGTTAGAAATCTGTGTGAGTCATTTTCTTGTCGTTTAGGAACTTCAGGATAATAATAATAATAATAATAATAATTATTATTATTATTATTAT